AACGGTAAATTTCAAAAATCTTTTTCATGATGGCATCTATCTATTAATAGGTTAAAACGTACGTGCAGCAGGTGGCACAGACTCAACCGTCAAGGGTTTGAGTTGTACAGGTTTATACGTTAAACGATTACCTTTGCTGTACCACAAAGTATGTTTCATCCAGTGATCATCATTCCTTGTTGGAAAGTCGTTCCGCGTATGCGCGCCACGACTTTCTTGACGAGCTTCGGCTGAAATCATGGTGGCTTGAGCAACTTCGATTAAATTATCCAACTCTAAGGCTTCAACTAAAGCAGTATTAAAAACATGAGATTTGTCTTGCAAGTAAACATTGTCAACACGCTTGGCAATTTCAACGATTTCTTTCGCACCCTTTTTAAGTAGCTCTGGCGTTCTGAACACACCAGCGTGTGTCTGCATACAATTGCGAATGTCATTGGCAATATCTTGACAATACTCGCCAGATGTTGATCTCATCAGTTTATTAACACGTTCCAAAGAAAATTCAGCAGCATTGGCAGGAAGTGGTTTATGAGTATTGTTTTGTTTGACAAAATCGATAATATGCTGACCCGCCGCTCGCCCAAACACAACCAAATCTAACAAAGAATTTGTACCCAAACGATTAGCACCATGCACTGACACACACGAACACTCACCTACGGCATAAAAGCCATTCACAACTTTTTTGTAATCATCTCCGCCTTTTTCGTCAGGAATAACAACCTGACCAAACATATTGGTTGGAATACCGCCCATCTGATAATGAATGGTTGGCACGACAGGTATCGGTTCTTTTAGGCAATCAACATTAGCAAAATTTAAGCCAATTTCGTGGACAGATGGTAAGCGTTTAAGGATTTCATCTTTACCAACATATTCAAAAGACAATAAAATATGGTCTTTGTTAGGCCCGCAGCCTCGTCCCTCTTTAATTTCTTGATCCATTGAACGTGAAACGAAATCACGTGGCGCAAGATCTTTTAGGGTTGGAGCATAACGCTCCATAAAACGCTCCCCCTGACTGTTTAGCAAAACGGCACCTTCACCGCGGCACCCTTCAGTCAACAACACCCCAGCACCATACACGCCTGTGGGGTGAAACTGCCAAAACTCCATATCTTCCAATGGAATACCAGCTCGAGCAGCCATACCAAGACCATCACCCGTGTTGATAAAGGCATTCGTCGACGCTTGGTAAATTCGTCCTGCACCACCTGTCGCAAATAAAGTACATTTAGCTTCTAGAATATAAATTTGCCCTGTTTCCATTTCAAGTGCTGTGACACCCAGCACGTCACCTTCGTCATTACGAATCAAGTCTAACGCCATCCATTCAACAAAAAAATTGGTATGTTCACGAACATTTTGTTGATAAAGGGTATGCAACAAAGCGTGCCCTGTACGATCGGCCGCTGCACAGGCTCTTTGCACAGGTGCTTTGCCATACTCAGACGTATGCCCACCAAAAGGGCGTTGGTAAATCGTGCCATCGGCATTGCGATCAAAAGGCATGCCAAAGTGCTCTAACTCGTACACCACCTCTGGCGCTTGACGACACATAAATTCAATCGCATCTTGATCACCCAACCAATCAGACCCTTTAACGGTATCGTAGAAATGGTAGTGCCAGTTATCATCATTCATATTGCCTAGAGATGCCCCTATTCCGCCTTGAGCTGCTACCGTATGTGAACGGGTTGGGAACACCTTGGACAACACCGCAACATTCAAACCTGCTTGTGCAAGTTGCAACGATGCCCTCATCCCAGAACCACCAGCCCCAACGATAACGACGTCAAATCGCAAACGCGGAATGGAATTTTTATCGGTTGTCATTTTTATACTCTCCACAATACTTGTACGGCGTAAATCACAGTTGCCAATAACCACAACACCGTTAAAACTTCCAAAAACAAACGTAACCCTACAGGCTTGATGTAATCCATCCAAATATCTCGAATCCCAACCCATGCATGATAGCCTAAAGACATGATCGTCAGAGCTGTTAATAACTTCATGAGTTGATTCGAGAACAATCCTGCCCAACCATCGTAGGTATAATCATTGGCCATGAAAAATGCAACCAATAGCACGATCGTAAAGACCACCATGACCACTCCGGTGATGCGCTGCATTAGCCAATCGAACCAACCATAACCAGCACCAACCACGACGCGCTTGCGTCCCACAGCTTCGTTACTCATTTAAAAGACTCCAAATAGTTTTAATCCAAT